GTTATAGTATGACTGTGTACTGCTACTGTGTACTGCTACTGTGAAGTATTACTGTATAGTATATACTGCTACTGTGTACTGCTACTGTGAAGTATTACTGTATGTATGTGTACTGCTACTGTGTACTACTATAGTATACTGTGTACTGCTACTGTGCTACTGTGTACTGCTACTGTGAAGTATTACTGCATAGTATGACCGTTTACTGCTACTGTGTACTGCTACTGTGAAGTATTACTGTAGTATGACCGTTTACTGCTACTGTGTACTGCTACTGTGAAGTATTACTGTGTACTGCTACTGTGTACTGCTACTGTGAAGTATTACTGTATAGTATGACTGTGTACTGCTACTGTGTACTGCTACTGTGAAGTATTACTGTATAGTATGACCATTTACTGCTACTGTGTACTGTTACTGTGAAGTATTACTGTATAGTATCACTGTTTACTGCTACTGTGTACTGCTACTGTGAAGTATTACTGTATAGTATGACTGTTACTGCTACTGTGTACTGCTACTGTGAAGTATTACTGTATAGTATCACTGTTTACTGCTACTGTGTACTGCTACTGTGAAGTATTACTGTATAGTATGACTGTGTACTGCTACTGTGTACTGCTACTGTGAAGTACTACTGTATAGTATGACTGTGTACTGCTACTGTGTACTGCTACTGTGAAGTATTACTGCATAGTATGACCGTTTACTGCTACTGTGTACTGCTACTGTGAAGTATTACTGTATAGTATGACTGTGTACTGCTACTGTGTACTGCTACTGTGAAGTATTACTGCATAGTATGACCGTTTACTGCTACTGTGTACTGCTACTGTGAAGTATTACTGCATAGTATGACCGTTACTGCTACTGTGTACTGCTACTGTGAAGTATTACTGTATAGTATGACTGTGTACTGCTACTGTGTACTGCTACTGTGAAGTACTACTGTATAGTATGACTGTGTACTGCTACTGTGAAGTATTACTGCATAGTATGACTCACTGCTACTGTGTACTGCTACTGTGAAGTATTACTGTATAGTATGACTGTTACTGCTACTGTGAAGTATTACTGTAAGTATACTGTGTACTGCTACTGTGTACTGCTACTGTGAAGTATACTGTATATATGACCGTTACTGCGACTGTGTACTGCTACTGTGAAGTATTACTGTTGTACTGTGTACTGCTACTGTGAAGTATTACTGTATAGTATGACTGTGTACTGCTACTGTGTACTGCTACTGTGAAGTATTACTGTATAGTATGACTGTTACTGCTACTGTGTACTGCTACTGTGAAGTATTACTGTAGTACTATGCTACTGTGTACTGCTACTGTGAGTATGACTGTGTACTGCTACTGTGTACTGCTACTGTGAAGTATTACTGTATAGTATGACTGTTTACTGCTACTGTGTACTGCTACTGTGAAGTATTACTGTATAGTATGACCATTTACTGCTACTGTGTACTGCTACTGTGAAGTATTACTGTATAGTATGACTGTTTACTGCTACTGTGTACTGCTACTGTGAAGTATTACTGTATAGTATGACCTTACTGCTACTGTGTACTGCTACTGTGAAGTATTACTGTATAGTATGACTGTGTACTGCTACTGTGTACTGCTACTGTGAAGTATTACTGCATAGTATGACCGTTTACTGCTACTGTGTACTGCTACTGTGAAGTATTACTGTGTACTGCTACTGTGTACTGCTACTGTGAAGTATTACTGTATAGTATGTGTACTGCTACTGTGTACTGCTACTGTGAAGTATTACTGTATAGTATGACTGTTACTGCTACTGTGTACTGCTACTGTGAAGTATTACTGTATAGTATGACTGTGTACTGCTACTGTGTACTGCTACTGTGAAGTATTACTGCATAGTATGACCGTTTACTGCTACTGTGTACTGCTACTGTGAAGTATTACTGTATAGTATGACTGTGTACTGCTACTGTGTACTGCTACTGTGAAGTATTACTGTATAGTATGACTGTGTACTGCTACTGTGTAGCTGTTACTGTGAAGTATTACTGTGACTGCTACTGTGTACTGCTACTGTGAAGTATTACTGTGTACTGTACTGTTACTGCTACTGTGTACTGCTACTGTGAAGTATTACTGCATAGTATGACCGTTTACTGCTACTGTGTACTGCTACTGTGAAGTATTACTGTATAGTATGACTGTGTACTGCTACTGTGTACTGCTACTGTGAAGTATTACTGTATAGTATGACCGTTTACTGCTACTGTGTACTGCTACTGTGAAGTATTACTGTATAGTATGACCGTTTACTGCTACTGTGTACTGCTACTGTGAAGTATTACTGTGTACTGCTACTGTGTACTGCTACTGTGAAGTACTACTGTATGACTGTGTACTGCTACTGTGTACTGCTACTGGTATTACTGTCTGCTACTGTGTACTACTGTGAAGTATTACTGTATAGTATGACTGTGTACTGCTACTGTGTACTGCTACTGTGAAGTATTACTGTATAGTATGACTGTGTACTGCTAC